AGGAAGATGCATGGGAGAAGATGCTGGACTTTATGGGAAGCAATCTGAGAAGATGAATCTGTGGTGAAGTGGTCTTTAACAAGAGAAATGTCTTGTTTTAAATCTGTCTGTGAGCTGATGCATTTATCTGAAAGAGTTTCACATGCACAGAACAGATATTTTTTGTCACAGTCTTTGTCCTGTCTCCACCACTTGTTTTCCCTGTAGTGTTAGACTCAGCCCATCGGTGTCGTTAGACCACTTGCACGTGCCCCACTGTAAATCGGCTGTGCCCCAAGTAAAGCTTCAAGTCTAGCAACTATAAATAGGTTTTTGCAATCCGCAGTTCACTTGACCGCAGTATTTTCTAACGTGTTTCTTGAAGTACCACTAGTAAAGTTAAATTAATTGTGAGTGGTCGTCATTGTTATCTTTTGTTAGTCAAATTTGTCATGACAGTTTCTTTCTATGTGCACAATGGGCTGACAGGCAGTGGCGCATGCACCTGGAGTCCTATAGCTCCACACCATGCGCACGTGTTTTTGTGGTTTTGCCTAAGTTTTAGAAGAGCTGTTTAATATATCACACACCGCTAGAGGGGATCTACTCCCTAATACGAGCCTCGTCCTGACACAGCTTGGAGTGAGAGCAGCGCACACACTGACTATGCCTGCTGTCAATAATGTATGTAACATCACCAGGACATGTGCAGGGTATTCTTCTTATTGAACATGGCTCACTGACTGCACTCATTCATGGGTTATTTTGCAAGCTACTTATTGTGTGTGGATTTAAGTGTCAGATCAGTGAGTCTCAAGGAGCGCACCTCCTGAGCGCAATGCTGCTCATTGTGGAAAGTTGGTATGTGAGACTGTTGATGATAAAGTGACTGCAGGACTGAATTTGATAAGGAGGTATTACTCAAAGCCAGTTTGTGCGCTGCTGCCAGTCACTCCGAGCTGCGCAGGGTTACGGTATAACGAGAAAACACAGTATGTCCTTAAAACGAGAAAAGTATCTTCTTATAACGAGAAACACCTTCACTTTTTGCTGGTGGTCTCCAGTCAATGTCTAGATACAAGAAGAATTAAAACCAACTAGATATAACTGACAAAGGTTTGGAGTGCCACAGGAAATGGCCTGAATATATTTATGGAAGTGAGAGATTTCAGTTTTTGATTTTTAATAAAATTTCTGATGTTGTAAAAGCATGTTTTTTTGATGGGCAAAATAGCCAATTTATTTTTATAGTTAAATCTACAACACAATGTAAAAAAGTGAAGGGGTCTGTGATTCATTTCTTACAGAGGAACATATATGTCTGATCAATCTTGGCAGCAGTTCACCTATAAAACTGTTGTAAGGTTAAATATTTAACTTGGAATGACAGTATTGTTTGAATAAACAGCAATGACTTTAAAGTGATGGACTTTAACCTTTACTCGTTTTCATGTAGAGTGAACGACGTAATGATCAGAGCACATGTGAATGTGACAAGAATTCGACAGCTCATAGAAATGAAGATGACACTATTCACCTTATACAGAAAACTGGCAGGTTTGCATTCTGCAGTGGGTAAGAATATTGTTTATTCTTTGTTGTTATTTGGACTTCAAGTGTCTGGGTTGACCGGTACATTCTGTTTTGACTCTGAGAAAATCTGTTTCTCTAAACTGCAGGTCGACTGTTCTTACATAAAGGTCTGTCTGTGGTGTACAGCATGTGATCATCTAAGAAGTATTTGTTACTTCTTGCTGCTACTATAACTGTAAAATAATCCTAAAATATTTTTGAGAAATAATGCAAAACACAGAGTAAATTTCTAGATCATAAGACATCTGCAGTACTTGTGTAAAAATGCTTTCCTGGATCTGCAGCAATTGTAATTTTGTTTGTAGACTGAATGAGGTATTTTCTATAATGTTTCTCTTTGTGGGCAAGCTGACAACCTGGTAGATGGATATTTGTAGAATTTGGTAGAAAGGAATTGATTGATTATTTCAGTTACTCAACCAGTGATTTTTTTTAAAGTAAAATGTAAAAAGGTATGACATGTTGTAAAATGTCTGCTGTTGTCTCATGAACTACTGCACTCAGTGAAAACAGTCTGGGACACGTTTCTCTTCACTGTCTATGAACATTTTGATGCAGAAATCATAAAAGGTCTGGGTCAGGTAGGTCAGACTGTAGCACTGGAATATGAAACCTGTCACCATGTCAAAGTGTCATTGGCTCCCGGTGCTTGTGAACAGTGCATGCATGCAGTGTTAAAAATTCACCACATTTTCTCTCATTGCTTTGGCCGACATTAGAGAATTTCAGATACAATCTTCTTCTTCTTCTTCCGGCTGTTCCCGTTAGGGGTCGCCACAGCAATTCATCTGTTTCCACCTAACTCTATCCTCAGCATCCTCTACTCTCACCCCAATTAACTTCATGACCTCTTTTAGCACATCCATATATCTCCTCTTTGGCCTTCCTCTTGACCTCTTGCCTGGCAGCTCCATCTCCAACATCCTTCTACCAATATAACCACTATCCCTCCTCTGCACATGTCCAAACCATCTCAATCTGGCCTCTCTGACCTTGTCCCCAAAACAGCTGACCTGAGCTGTCCTTCTGATGTGCTCATTCCTAATCCTGTCCATCCTGGTCACTCCTAAAGAGAACCTCAACATCCTCATCTCTGCTACCTCCATCTCTGCCTCTTGTCTTTTCCTCACTGCTACAGTCTCTAACCCATACAGCATAGCTGGTCTCACTACTGTCTTGTACACCTTTCCTTGGATTCTTGCTGACACTCTTCTGTCACACAACACTCCTGACACCTTTCTCCACCCACTCCAACCCGCCTGCACTCGCCT